CGATCTCATGAGATCTGGAAAACCTGGAATCTAACTCCGTTCCTTGGGATCTGGGGGATAACCTTGTTGTCCACACACAGGCTGGGGTCAGAGGTCAGTGGTCTGTGGGCTGTCTTCCTGCTTGGATGAAGCACTTGAGTGCTGGGATTTGGGCTGGAGAAGAGCCAGGCCTCTGGGACTACAGCCACAGCTATCCTGCTGCGTCTTTGTGCATCGGACGTTCTCCCAGGAGCAGATCTCCTGTTCAAGACTCTGATCGTTGATATTCGGAAATGAAGGTTTTAAGCTTTTTTTTTTTAAATTTAATCTCGAAATGGAAACTGTACATAACTTGAACGGACGGATGGATGTCGGTATTTACTGTATATTAAGTTTTATTTAAGTTTATTTTTATAAATGCTTGTGTTTGTTGGCTAATAAACAACAACAAAAATGATCATGTTGTCCTCGCTGCTTTTCCTCACGTTGGCATCGGCGTGTGTTGGGGGGCTTTTGCGATAGGATGTCTGAAACTGTCTGGGGTAACTGGGGGTTACAGTCGTCGTCTCTGCCTGTCATCCACTGCTTTCTGGTGATATAGCGCCTTTAAATGTACCTTCTCGAAGCGACTTGCAAGACGTATGAAGGAGACAAACGGTTAACGAAGATGAATACGTTTGTAGCAGATGTTTATCCCACTAGCGACCAGGGCATTAGATCAGGCAGATCGTGATATAGCGCCGATCTGTGAATTCAATTTAACTTCGCTTTAGACAAACGGGGCGTTGCACGTCTTTTGCAGGTGACCTCTCCAAACACTGGTGTGTGTGTGTGTGGTGTTCCCCCTCGCACGCCCGGGCGGCTGGGTAGGAGCGCTGCAGCTCTGCAGTGAATGAGCTCCTGAGAGGTGCCAGGTGACAGAAACCAGCCCTCGAAATTCGTGTGAGGGCGCTAGGAGAGAGGGTTTTGCTCCTTCCGATATTAGCCTGCTCACTTCGCTTCAGCTCTCGCTCCTGTTTTTCCCCACTCCACAAATATTTTATTTTTTGTTATCGGGGATGTTTTTGTGACGCTCTATCATCCAGTTGGGGCTGCACATTGGTGGTGGTGGAGGGGATCCCCATTACCTGTAAAGCGCTTTGAGTGGAGTGTCCAGAAAAGCGCTATATAAGTGTAAGCAAT